GGCTTGGCACCAGCCACATGCCCTGAGGCTGGCAGGTTCGAACCCTGCCTAGGCCAGCTAAAACAACAATGACAATTGCAACAAAAAAATAGCCAGTCTCTGTGGTGGACGTCTGTAGTCCCAGCTACTTAGGAGCCTGAGGCAAGAGAATCACTTAAGCCCAAGAGTTTGAGGTTGCTGTGATACCATAGCACTCTAATCAGGGTACCAACTTGAGACTATGTCTCAAAAAAAAAATTTTTTTTTTCTTAGTGGCCTTGTCTGAAGGGTTTCAGAAGCACAATGTCAGGAACTGAGGTTGGAGACCAAATTTCTTTTCTTTTCTTTTTTTTTTTTTGTTAGTCATGGAGTTTTGCTTATTGCCCAGGCTAGAGTTTAGTGGCATCATCATAGCTCACAGCAACCTTGAACTTAGGGGGTCAGCAATATTCCTGTCTCAGCCTCCTGAATAGCTGGGACTACAGGTGCCCATCACCATACCCAGCTAATTTTTTTTTATTTTTTTAAGAGATGGGGTCTCACTACATTGCCCAGGCTGGTCTTAAATTCCTGAGCTCAAGCAATCTCTGGCTTTCCAAAATGCTGGGATTACAAGCGTTAGCCTCCATGCCTGGCCAACCAAACATAATTCTTATACTATCATAGTATCACAATGTCTCTATCCCCCATGAATATAGGGATCTTTGTTTGTCTGGGTCATTGCTATATCCCCAGCACTGAGGCACATAGTAGGTGCTCATTAAATACTTACTGAATAGATTAGAGCTGCTTACCTCGCTCACAGAATCTCAGTCTCAGACTGTGGAACCTGTGCAGGGTGGAGTGTGAGGGGAATTCAGAGACAGCAGCCTGCTGAGCAGATTTAAGAGGATGGGCTTCCTCCTAAGGGTACTAGGTAGCCACAGCAAGGTTTAAAGCAGGAGAGGGGCAGGTTTGTGCAATAGGAACATCCCTCTGGCTGGCATATGGAGGGTGGGCCAGAGGTAGGAAGAAGCAGGTAGGGCTCAGGCAGGGCAGGAGACATTTCCAAGGATATTTAGAAGGTGAAAGTCCCATCTGAGGAGGTACAGACAAGCCCAGGTCTCTGGACAGCAGGGCTATCACAGAGATAGAGCCTGAAGAAGGAACAGATGTGGACCTGATACTGAGGTCAGTTTGGATGCCAGAGGTGGACATCTGGGGGCCGGTGTCCAGTGGACCATAGGACACACAGATTGAGGCTGGGGAGACGGCTGAGCTGGAGACAGGCCTGGGACCCTCTAGGAAAGGCCTGGCACTAGAGGAGGGGAGGGGCCTACGTCCAGGGCCAGTCCAGGCTGAGGAGAAAGAAGCTGGAAACTACCCAGGTACAAGGTGGAGGAGGAAGCAAGGTGGGAGGTATTGGGAAAGAGGTATTTGTTGGGGAGTGCTTGCAGTGGCTGAGGGTCATCCCTGTTGATGGCTTCTACTCCTCTTCCCTCCCTAGAGGGGCAACCCTGTGCTAAAGTTCGTGCGAAACGTGCCCTGGGAATTTGGTGATGTAATCCCTGACTATGTGCTGGGCCAGAGCACCTGTGCACTCTTCCTCAGGTGAGCTCTGGGTGCTACTTCACCTCTCAAGAAGGGTGCCACATGACACCTGGGAGGGTTGTGTTCCCATGTTCTCGGTCATTCCATGGGAAACCCTGGGCACAGCCCTGCTGGCTCTGGGCCTAGGTGTCACCCTGTGTTACAGGAATAAGTCTTATCTAGACGAGGTGGTTCACGCTTGTAATCCTAGCACTCTGGGAGGCTGAGGCAAATGGATTGCTTGAGTTCATGAGTTCGAGACTAGCCTGCAAGAGTAGGACCCCGTCTCTACTAAAAATAGAAAAACTAGTCAGGCATTGTGATAGGCACTTGTAGTCCCAGGTACTCAGGAGGCTGAGGCAAGAGGATCACTTAAGCCTAAGAGTTTGAGGTTGCTGTGAGCTCTGATGACATCATGGCACTCTACTTAGGGTGACAGTGTAAGACTTTGTCTCAAAAAAAAAGTTGGTGAGATCTTAGCCTGGTGGTGCCCAGGGCAAGGAGAGGAAGGGCCTGGACCCCCAAGTCTGAGGGAGGAGGGGCTGGGTCATTTGTCTCAGATAGTCGTGATTGGAATTGCCAAGAGCCAAGATTTCTCCAGCTTCCACTAAAGTTAAACAAGTTTCCTCTCCTTTCCAGAGTACCTCTGCAGACAGGGCCAGATAGAGGAAGTAAAACTTAGAAGTTTCTGTCTTCTCCAGCAGCTTGTGAGAACTGGTCCTGGTTACTGGGTAGAGCCCCCCTCCCACCAGCTACACTCTCTGAGGCCAGAGCAGAGGACTTAAGGATGGGCTCTGTCTCCAAAGACCAGTCCCCAGGCCACACTCTGTAGGGCCCCCAAGTCCCTGTTCTCCCCCTGGAGCCCAAGTCTGTTCTGTGAAGAAGCGATGGCCCCCAAACTTCTGGGGAACCACAGCCAGACAGCCAGTCCCCACTGTGCATCTTAGAAGTGTGACCATGGGCTCCACGCCCGTGGCTCAAGTGGCTAAGGCGCCAGCCACATACACCTGAGCTGGCGGATTCGAATCCAGCCTGGGCCTGCCAAACAACAATGATGGCTGCAACCAAAAAAAATAGCCAGGGGGTGTGGCGGGCGCCTGTAGTCCCTGCTACTTGGGAGGCGGAGGCAGGAGACTCGCTTGAGCCCAGGAGTTGGAGGTTGCTGTGAGCTGTGATGCCAGGGCACTCTACCCAGGGCGACAGCTTGAGGCTCTGTCTCAAAAAAAAAAAAAAAAAGAAGAAGTGTGACCATGGGCAAGTCATTTAACCACTTTGGGCCTCAGGTCCCAGCAAGGTGTGCTCCCATTGCTTTGCATTCCAGTGAGAGGGCAGAGGGCTTCCAGGGTCTCCAAGATACTGAGACCTCCTGACTCCTCATCTCTCCATCCCCCCAGCCTCCGCTACCACAACCTGCACCCGGACTATATCCATGAGCGGCTGCAGAGCCTGGGGAAGAACTTTGCCCTGCGGGTCCTTCTCGTCCAAGTGGATGTGGTAAGCAGGGTCATTCCCCTGCCCACCTCTCTGTCTCCATCCGTGAAATGGGGAGTATTCGGTCCAGAGGTTGTGCTTTGGCTTGTCAAATCCCCTTCCAAGAAGACATGAAGGTTAAAACTTCAGGGAGCAACCATTTTTCACATCAGAGATTGACACCGTCACCAAGATACCCTATGTTGGCAAGGAGCAGAGAGGGCAAAATTATCTGTCTCTTTCTTCCCACAGCCCCCCTCAATTAGTCCCAGCCCTCTGCCATCAGCATATCTTTTGAATTGGCTTCATCCTTTCTGTCCCCATGGTCCCTGCCCTACTAGGTCTTCTCCTTTCCTTTGTGGGTTTCTACCCCAGCCTCCTTCCTGTTTTCGTGACCTCCAGTCTTGACCTCTTCATCCTTACAGTAGCCACAGACTTTTTCTAAAAGTACAGATCTGATGGCAGCCCTTCCCAGTATGCCAGGAGAAAGTTTTACTCCCTTCTATGGCCCATGAGGCCCTGCTTGACCTGACCTCCATACAGCTCTCCAGGCTCCTCTCTAAGCTTCCATGCAAACAGCCTTTCATTTCACATCCACTGCATATTGGGTGACTTGGCACTTCCTCAGGCCCGCTTTCCCTTCCCATTCTTTGCTCAGGCTGTTCTCCATGTCTAGAATTCCCTTTCTGTTTTCCATCACTTCCATCACTCCTCTT